TCAAAATATTATAACAGTTTAGTGCAGTTTAAATTATAGTTCAGTTCAAGTTTTTATAGTATAGTTCAGTTCAGTTTAATGACACAAAAGAATAGTTCAGTTCAGTTAATCTGAACTAATATTTAGTTTAGTTCAGTTCATATGAACTACTTTTAAGTTCAATATAGTTTTTATAAGTTTAGTTTAGTTCAGTTCGTTTTGCCCACCCCTACCCCCACCCTTGCCCCCCACACGCTTCCTCCTCGCCAACCATTCCTTGTAGGTCTCCTCGCTGGTGAGGACAACGCTCATCCACATCTAGACATTACTCATCTAAAAGAGGAAGGAGGTGGCGGTGCTACCAATGGCTCCAATTTGATGCATCTGCTTGAGTGAGTTGCAGATTTCATGGACACTTTGTAATAGCGTAGTTAGCATCGTGCGTGAGGTTGGAGAAGTTGGAGGTGACGCGATGGACCTTGGCAAGGTTGACGATGATGACCATATGCGCTAGTTATCTAGGGTTTTACTACATTGCATTAGTGTAGTGGGAAAGAAAGGTGTAGCACACATCTGGGTACAAAGTGTTGTTGTAGCTCATGTGGATAAAGTCGTTGTCGTCGTCGCCCACAAGGGTCGAAGCCTTCTCTTTGGCGATAGAGAATGTGACTATGACGAGGAAGAGGGACAGGAAGAAATAAGTGGCGAGTGTCGATGACGATGGTGCAATTAAGGAGGTGGAGGTTACGAAGGGTGGAGAGGAAGTTGAAGAAGACCAGGGGTGTTCATGGATCGGTTTTTTCAAAAAACCGATCCAAACCGAACCGAACCATTTTATAAAAGTGGATCGGTTAACCGATCCATTTTTTATAAAGTGGATCGATTTGGTTTTTTAAAAATATGGATCGATTTTTTTGAAATTGGATCGGTTCGGTGCGGTGCAGTTATCCACTTTTTTACTCATATATGGATCGATTTTTTTAGAAAACCAAACCGAATCGAACCGATTCACTTTATAAAAATGGATCGGATAACTGAACCAGTTTTATAAAGTGGTTCGGTTCGAATTTTTTTCAAAATAGATCGGATTTTTCAATATGGATCGGATCGGTTATGGATCGATTCGGATCAATTTAGATTTTTTGCACACCCCTAAGGAAGACTAAGGAGAGGGAGAGGTGAATGGAGTAGTTGGAGAAGATGAGAACATTTTAGGGAGAGAAAAAAATATTAAAAGTCATATGCAAGTCACATAACACATAACTTTTAACGAGGGAGATTAGTGTAATGTTTATTTAATTTTTAAGAAGTCTTATTGTAAATCTAAATTATGAAGAGAAGTCAGACACAATCTTAAAGGAATCTAGGAGATATGAGTGTAATTTTCTCAAAAAATATATAGACAAACACATAGAAATTAAAACTCTAATTTTATTTTAAATTTTTTATTAATATTTAAAGAATATAAATAAGTATACAATGATTTTGTTAAATGTAAAAATATTGTGAATTTACACTAATCTAATAACTTAATCCAATTTAACTCGATTTAATGTAATCAATTAAGTTTTATGTTTTTATTTAATCAAACACGATTTAATTAACCTGACTCAATACTAACCAACAGCAAGGTTTCTAAAATCAAAATGAGTGAAGCAGAAATAGGTTGAGAAATCTGTTAGTTCATCTCCATCAAGTATTATTCAAGTATATGCACAATAACATTATTAATTAGCCTGGTAGATATTGATACTCCATTGTCCATATATATGGCAACGTACTTCAAAATATTTAAATAGGTAACCTCTTGAATATTTGGAATATATATAAATGCGCTTCCTTTTTCTCAACAGAAAAAAAAGGTGCTTCCTTTGGTATTCTTGCTTAATTTAAAACTAGAGGGTGGTTAGCACCGGTTGGTTGTTGGCAATTCTAAAGAGAGCAATGTATTGTCTTTGTCTTTGTAACCTCAATTTTTAAAACTCAAAAATAATAAGAGGAGGAAGAAAACAAAGGATGTATGCATGGTCTTACATGCTTGGAAATATTCCAGAGTGAAATCAAATTAATTAGCAACACGAATAGTTAATTAATTAGAAAAGATAATATAGGTTAATAGGTTGGAGACCTTGGCAACATATTTGCACATGTGTGTCGCTTTCGGTGCCAAGAGAGAAGCAATAAAAGGGATACAAGACTATTTCTAGTTGGAACTTCAGTGTGACTGATAATCAACAAAAGACAAGAAAGTTAGACAATGAACATGAACATAGAGGATTCCGAGGCAGAGAAAAGCTTCGATCAAATGGATTACATAAATCTATTGCATTTTATCCGATTACCCATTAAGATAAATATAGAATGATTCCAATACTTTTTTATATCTTTCATCATATAACATGATCTCACAAACACATGCTAAATTGTTAATTTAAATAACGTTTTTCAACTTTGGTGTATAAAAATGACCTATATCACATAAGAATTGAGAACAAAAATAATTTATAAATATTTCTTTTTTACTTTAATTACCAAAAATTTAAATATTTTTTAAGAACAAAAATGACACGATTTTCAAAATTGTATTGTTTTATATGTGATAATTTGAACTATATTAGTAGATTTGAGGTAGATAAAATGTAATATATTGTTTGAAAATAATTCAAAATTTTCAATTTTAAATCTCTAAAAAATCGTTCAAATATAAAAATATATTATTTGTCTTAAAAATATTGTTTAAAATTAAAAATATTGTATTTATTTTATATTTTTTTCTTTTTAAAAATTAGGATGTAAGATTAATAAATACAGATTATTAATATGAGAAAAATAATTCAACATATAGAGAAAATTATTATTTTAAATGAGAGAATAAATTATATAAAGGAGAGTTCGCCTAGTTTGGTAAAAAAATTATTTTGAAAAGTTTCAGATTTCATTCGTAAAGCTTGTAATATAAGAATTTTCAAGTTTTATTTATAAAATTTGTGAGGGATAAATTTTTAAATTTCACTCAATTTAAAAAAATATATATAATATATTTTGAGATAATGAACACTTTTGTAAACATGAATATAAGGAATTGAACTATAATATTAAATATAGTTTTTTTGTGATTTTTTTTTTTTTTATAATGTTAACTTGTATGTGTTAACTCATGATTATACGTAGAAGAATTTTTTCCCCCAACATATATTAATATGGACATGGTCTTTCCCTTAGGTAATAGGTTCAATGTGTTTTGGAAATCTAAAGTAAATCATTTAAATGAGTAGTAGCCTTTCATGACAAGTTCTAATCGGACTTTCGGTTTTGCTTCAATTTTGGACTCTTCTTTAAACTTTTCTTTCAAGCTGCACGTGTGTGGGCCTAGCAGGTAAAGGCGCTAATAAAATAATAGTAAAATATATATTTTTTTCATCTTTTAAATATTACCACTATTTATTTATTTATTTTAAAATTTATTATTTACTTTTTTTTTCATTTTCTTTTCCGTTTGTTTTATTTGTTGATTGCTTTTGCGACTCTAAAATATTATGATACTTAGATGGATTAAATAAAAAAAAATGGTATATAATAAAAGAATTAAAGGCTAAATAAAAAATAATAGTTAATAGATCAAACAAATGAAAAAAGTAATAACGAAATAAAAAATAAATATAAAAGACCAGATTACAAATTTTTAAAAATCGATAACCAAATGAAAAACTGCAATATTTTGAAAGGAAAAGAAACCGTTTAATCATAAAAGATTTTGTATTTTAAATATATTATATATTAGTTTCTTCACCAAAGAAAAAAGTTTTGAAATTAGACATACACTTAAAACAAAGTTATACAATAAAATTACAATAATAACACGATAATTTAAAATGTATATTACTTCAACTTTCACTACTAAAATAATACACTTTTAGATATGGAAAGAAATTGAGTTTAGTTTGATGAATTAAAAGTGATGAATTGTAATTTATTTATTTATTTTTATTGGAAGAATATTCATATATATATATATGATTTAAGTAATTAGGCTTTTTTTCTTCTTCTTATAATAGCAAAAATGAGTATCGCGCTTAAATTTTTATAAATCTATAATAATCTTTCATTTATAGGTCAATCATACGGCAGAAATAATAATAATATAATAAAAAATATACACACAATCACACATCATTATTAAATCGTAAACACATCATTAAATTGTAAACACATGTACTCTCATTGTCTCATATATCTTTGGTCCTTTTAATTCTTTCTCTTCAAAAGATTGACCTTTAGAATTTTTAAGTCTAGCTAATTAATATATTTTTTTCCTTCTATTCTATCCTTATTTAATAAACAAATTTTCTATCAACTATTCACTTATTTTTATACTGACAAGATAAAAGAATTGAGATATATAGCATATTAAATAAGAAGCTTTTAGTCCAAATTTATATTTGTCAAATATTTTTTAAATGATTAAAGATTTATAATTATGAGAGAGTAACATTTATGGACACATAATATATATGCACTACGATTAGTAGTAATTGCATAATGGTAATAAATTAATGGTATATAAAACTCATCTTGAACTACACACTTATGGAACAAATGAACATTAGACTGTAAATTGTCAATTTATAATAGATACAAGTTAATATAATAGTTTTTTTTTTTGCTAAAAACCTATTTTGGTCCTTTATAATCTTTTTTTTTTTTCAATTTAGTCTCTCATTAATTTTTTTGTCTCAATTTGGTCCCAAACTAATTAATTGGTTTCAATTTAGTCCCAAATTAATTAATTAGTTTCAATGTGGGACTTCCGTCCAAATTATTTAAACGGAGTTAACTTTTGGCCACGTGGATGAGAATTTTTTTTGAAAACACCTGGATCCGGAACGGCCCGTTCTGAAATCGGAACGGACCGTTCTGGTTGCAAAATTAAAACACTACCAGCGAAGCAGAACGGGCCGTTCTGTAATCTCCTCCTAACATAACAATAGAGAAATATTATTGCAGTGATATCTTGCATGAAACACAAAATCCAATCTATGAAATCACTAAAAGAACTTCCTACATTCCACTCCTCAAATTACTAGTTAGATATCACTATCAGATCGTCATTAATACCGAACATACATATACATAATTAAAGAAAGGTGGCTAATAAATCCAAAACTTGAGTAACAGCAAATTTGGTCTAAAACTCTATATTTTAGCATCAAAATCTGAAAAATTAAAAATCAAGTTCCTTTTCCCCTACCCTTATTACTAAACTAAAGTCTTCTTCACATGGAACTCCCAATTTTTTCTCTACAATATACCCAATTATTCAATACAGCTCGTGAAGAGCAATAGAGAAACCCAACCCCATAATCATGATTCACCCATCAAGTAAACAGATCATCCTATAAAGCCAAAAAAACAAATCATTCGCATCACAAATCACAAACACTGAAGAAGGAAAAAAAAAAAAGGGGGTTAGAAAGTGAAATACATCGGCATAGGCAGCATCCAAGTAGGAAACATTGATCTCGACGGAGACCCCCGTGTTGGGAGCAGAATACCCAACGGTGGGAATCGCAGCCGAGCCCACCACATCCACCAGCGCAGCGGTGGCGCCGCCGTGTAACGAATTCCCGGCATTCTATAAAAACAGAAAATGAAAAGGAAAGAGAAAATTAAAAAAAGAAAAAGAAAAAGAAATAGCAGTGAGTGTGCGTACGAGTAAACGTTGAGGAATCTTCATAGAGCAAACGATGCGACCGGGTTCGATGAGATCGACTTGAAGGGAGTTCATAACTAAGGGTTCGAGAAACCTGGGTGGCAAGTCATCGATGAGCGATGCTGTTACTCCACCTTTCTCTAAGTACCTCTTCACTGCTTCCAATTCCATTTTCTCAATAACTTTCTGCGCCAACTACCAATCTTCTTATATAGCCCTATCTCCTTTTTTTCCTCTCTTCTTTGCTTTTCATGCTTCAACCTTTCGCTTTCGCTCCTTATTTTTAACAAAAACGATCATTGTACTTCTGTTAACACTCGATTCTTATATTAATTGTTTGTTTTAATTTAGTTTTATTTTTATTTTTTGTTTTAATTTGGTTCTAAATTAATTAATTGGTTTTAATTTAGTCTCAAATTAATTAATTGGTTTCAATGTAGGATTTCCGTCCAAATTATTTAAACGGAGTTAACTTTTGGATGTCACGTAAATGCATACGTAGATGCGACGTGGATGCCACTTGGATGACAAGTTTATTGAAAACACCTGGACCCAGAATGACCCGTTCTGAAACCGGAACGGGACGTTCTGGTTGCATTTTCGGTGTGTTAATTTTGCACCTGGAACGGGCCGTTGCGGATGCAAAATTAACACACCAAAAGTGCACCCAGAACGGCCTGTTTCGGTTTCAGAACGGGCCGTTCTGGATCCAGGTATTTTAAAAAAATTCTCATCCACGTACGCATCTACGTGGCGTCCACGTGGCCAAAAGTTAACACCGTTAAAGCAATTTGAAAGGAAAGTCCCACGTTGAAACCAATTAACTAATTTGGGACTAAATTGAAACCAATTAATTAGTTTGGGACCAAATTGAGACAAAAAAATAATGAGAGACTAAATTAAAATAAAAAAAGATTATAAAGGACCAAAATAAGTTTTTAACCTAGTTTTTTTTACGGGTACTTGCTATAATTACCGATAAAACTTTTAGCAATCCTTAATATGCAAACATAATTTAATTGCCAAATGTGTTCTGGAGGATTATTTTGGATTCATAGCCCTTAGCTGTTCTATAGGCTATTTAACCTAGTTCGAATTCTCAACTCCTAAATAGGTGTTACTTTGGCTAAGTAACACTAATTTGAAAACAATTATAACGAAAATTGTTCTACTTAAAGACACTAATTAAAATGACTATACATTTAACCAACTAAAATCAGATTTACCAGACATGCTAAGATAAATAAGGGATTTTATTATGATATTAACACACTTAACAGCTAATGCATTTTATCCACTCTTGACGATTCAGGTGACATAACTAAATGTAACAATTTTTTCTCACTAAATATCTTTTATATAAGGAAATTCTTTCACAATAGTATATACCTATTTCTTATTTTTATAAACACTTCACTCGAGTAATAGCTTTATGTAGTATCACTATTAAAAGTTATTTGATCATTATTATCGCCACAGCACACATTGTTGACACCAAAATTATAAGATACACGACTTTTCACTTAACATCACAACAAAAACATTTTAACGGCCTTTTATATCGGTATATATATCCATAAATACTAACAACAAAATTTAGGGGTGAATTTATCAACAGACGGTGAAACAATACAAGTTTATCAAAGGTGCATTTCTCTCACTCGCTGATCACTTCAATTCTGCTAATGCCATCGAAGACTTAATGACTTATTACAACTTTGACCACTTGTTGGAGACGAGTACACGGGACATGTTGGATGACAATGACATTGTAGCCTGATAATTAAAGTTCATGTGTAAAACTTTGTATAAGAGAGATAAAAAATAATTTAGATGATATAATTAAAATAACAAGATAATATTAATTATAAGAAAAATTGTGATAAAGTTTATTTGTATATGTTTTTATAATTTTTTTACAATAGAAAGAAGGAAATATGAGACAAGATAATTAAAACGATCGGTTGAAATTGCATGTTCCTTGGTACGACGCCTGTCACCGTGGTTGAAAGCAATGACCTTACCATTACTAGGTTGTTGCTAGGGAGGTAAATATATGAGTTTTAGTCTAGAAGTTCATTAGCCTGTTAATAACAACTGAGAATCAAGTCTATTTCTACCACCAAAATTTCGATAATAACATTAAAAAAAAGAGTAAAAATAACTATTTATTATTTTACCTTCATTATTTAAAAATAATTCATTATTTATTATTGTATATAAAATCAATTCAAACACATTATATGTACAAACTAGTATAATCGACTAATTGATCAAGTTAAAATAATATGTATAGAGTCTTAAATTTAAACTTTAGTGTTATCATTATAATTTTGATAGATAAAAAAAATATAAATATTATGTGTTTGATTACTCAATTTATTTATTTAAGTGATTCTAATTTAAAAAAATTTAGTTTGTTTTTTGACCGGAAAAAAACAAAACTTCGAATTTTGTGGTCATTAAAAAATTTGTGTTTGTTAAAAAAAGTAAAATTTGATTTTTTTTGTTTAAATTATTTATAATTTAATTATTTCATGTGAAAATTTAAATTATTTTTAATTTTATGAATTTAATATTTAATAAGGGAATTTATAATAGATGTTAATCTACAAATAAAAAAGTGTTCAAGTGTAATGTATGAAATTAAAATATATTGTTTTTACATTTTCATAATCCAATAAATAAAAAATTATAATTTCTTTACAATTATGGAAAAAAAAACTTCAAAATTAATGTTAACGTTCTCAACAAAGTTCTATATATTTTTAAAACAAGTATATAAATAAATAAATAAGTCAGGAAAATTCTCATTAATTATCAATTTAATTTATTTACATTCTTAATTATCACATTTAATTTTAGTAATTGTTAAAAAAAAATGCTAACAACATATTCTCTAACACACTCATTTTTATTGATCAAAATTTATTAAAAATTATAAAATTAAGAGAGAGAAAGTCATGTAATGGAAAGTGAGACTACCAAATTTTGTAATTTTTTTTAATAAAATTCAACATATTAAAGACTTTATGTTTTTGTTAAGATAGGTGCAACACAAGGACTTCCTAAAAGGTCACCTATCATAATATTGAATGAACATTCAAGTACATTCAATCGTAGAGTTCTGATGAAAATTTCCATTCATTTATAAATTATTTATTTACCTAATTTTTTTTAATGTAAAACTTGAGGGTTTTTTTTGGATAATCTTACTAAAGGGCTAAGAATTATGCATGGCATAAGTGGAAAAACAATGAATAAGATAAGGAATGTGGCGAATAAGAGAAGTTAATTTTGGTTGTCAGGAACCTCTTGAATACAGACACAAACAGATCAGAAAAATACAGAAAAAGAAGTAAACGAAAATGAAAGAACTAGTTGTGAAGCCAATATTAAGATTTAAGACCCATGGACCCTTTTGTTTTGACCCTTATCTTATATATATCCTTGGAATCCTCTAAAATTAAAAGTGGCCCCCCTCTCTTGCACAACTCTGACCATTTTACCCCTCCCCCACCCCTTTATATACGCGCCTTCCTCGCTCCTTCCCTCTCCCACATGCACCTTCTCTCTCTCTCTCTCTCTCACTCTTCTCAATATTTCACAACATTTAACATCATGGCAAAAGGTGGAAAACTAATGAGGCTCAAGTCAGTGCTGAAGAAGTGGAACTCATTCGGCAACGCCGCCAAGAGCAGCCGCCACAGCACCAGCGCCGTCGCCGACGACGATTCCTCCTCCAGATCGGACCTCCACGCCGTCTACGTCGGCAAGTCCCGCCGCCTCTACCGCCTCTCCTCCGACGTCCTCGACCACCCCGTCTTCCGGGAACTCGTCGAGAGGTCCCGCGACTCCGACCAGGATCAACAACAACACGACCAACACAACGACACCATCAATGTCGCATGCGAGGTTGTCCTCTTCGAACACTTGCTTTGGATGCTCGAAAACGCCGACCCACAACCCGAGTCTCTCAACGAACTCGTCGACTTCTATGCTTACTAGCCCATCATCATCATGCAATGTTCAAAAAAAAAAAACACACACGTATATTATATTGTCCCTATATTTATACATATATTTAATTAGTTGTAATAATTAACTAACATTCATCCACGTACAAGTTTAATTTTCATGTTGTGATGATTAGTAAATATTGGATGTTGAGTTGGTTGAGTTGATGGATGGAGCGTTGGAGGCTCCAATCAATGTAATGAAAGGGAAATTGTACGCAATGTAAGTGGTTGTTGATTTCTAGCTACTTGAAGGGAAAATCAAAATGTATTGTTTTACCTTCGAAACGAATGTGTTTGTCTATGAGCATTTTTTTTTTTTTAAAGATAAATTATGCTAGTGGTGGGTGTCAGAGTAGAATGTGACTGGGACGACACCAAAACTTTTTTGTCCAAGAATCATCATATGTCGCATTGAAAGCTTCAATTTTGGAAGCTCTTTATCAGATTCCCGAAGTGGTTGTTTGGTTATAACGAAAGAGCATTATTGGAATTGCTCACAAAGTGGTCGAGAGGGACTTATTTTGCTAATAAAAGAAAATTGAAGCTGACATTGTGGCTACTCTCCTACTTCCTACCTTACCCTCGTTTAACTGAGAAGATGCCATGCCATGAGACTCTATCTTCATTCATTCATTCATTGGCCCCTCACGGCCTTCACTTGTTTGGAACAAGATCAACCTGCAGCTTCAACTTTTGAATCTAAAGCCGTAAACTTTTTTAGTTTTCATTCTATTTTTTAATTTAATATTTTAATGATTACGATCCATGCAGTTGAAAATTCAACTGCAGATAGCCCTGATCCATTCACTAGTTACATCAATCTACAGTTTAATGGGACAAGGTAACATGCGTTGTGTACAAAGTACAAACAGTCCCACCAAGTATTTATGAGAAATGATATTTATACCTCAATTTTGTATAATTTTTTTATACAATAAGCGAGAAGTTAAAGATAAATTATAATAGGTTAAATTAGTGCATGTGTGGGTTGAACTTGAAGTTTGCAAACGTTAGTTTCATTTGCAAAAGAAATCTTAGCCTTACTACTTCTCAACCCAAGTTTTCATTGAAAATATAAATATAAATGTGATTTCCTTTATGAAATTGAGAGCACCCAAAAGAAGAATCCAAACATAGACTTAAAATGTGTAGTTTCCTTGTTAAAAATTAATAACTGAATATTCCTGGAGATACTATAGTAATAATTACTACCGGCTCGAGGTAGGTCCCCCAATTAATTAAAATGTTACCCAAGAGTTCATATGAGACGTTACACATTAGTGACTTTACCATTGCGTCACCATTTGTATTTGTCATTGAAGAACCCTCTTGATGAAAAATGTTGAATTAGCATTAATTACTGGCCACACCGAAACATTCAGGGGTTGGTCGAGTGAATAAATTTGTGTATCTTGGTTGTTGGCTGGGGCAGAGAACATGGTGCATTGCTGATGCACATAGGCCACATATAATAATTCCAAAATATTATTATATAGCAAACCTGCAAGAAGAGGTAGTTGCAGAAAAAAAAGTTCATATTCTGAGACAGCAGTGAAGTCAACCGCTTTTAAGGATGCAGAATGCAAAGCTTGAGCATTCAAAAGTTGATAAGGTTTTTATATAAATAAAGAAGGGTCTGGAAATGTTGTTAAGGAGGAGATATATTAGTGTCTGCCAGAGATACGCATACTTTTTCAATACTAATGATTGGGTAGTTAGAGATGCCTCTGTTTGCTCAATACGTACTTTCAGACGCTCCCCTTAGGAAATTTCTGATCATAGTGAACCAAGAAAAAGAAAAAACAGAGCTTTTGGTTATCGTGATTGAGGACTTTAAATTGGGCATAAGTGGATGACACGAAATTAGGTTCTTTAGTGCACGCACGAGTGTCTGTATCTGTAAGTAACATGAATGAAACGCGTTGCCTAGCTGCCATTGCCACATTACATCCACGTACACCACAAAACTATTGGTATGGTGTTTGAGGATAAAATATTTTCAAATATTAGTATGTAATTGCGTTAAATATTTATAACGAATGTTTTGTTGTTTAACATAATTTCTTTTACCAAAAATACATGCATTTTGGCAAAAACAAAATAAAAGAAGAAACAATTGTAAATTACATGGAGTTAAAATAGCAATAATTCAGCCTGTATGGACGAGGATCCAAATAGATGACTATCATTAATTTTATATATTACGAGTAGATATTCTCTTATTTACTTGTTTTATAGAAAAAGAAAAACCCATTTAGTTATCTATTTTCACGTTTTAGAAAGAAAAAAGAGAATTGTGCCATATAGTATTAATTTGTTTTGGTTTTATAATGATAATTTTGTTAGGAATGTATATCGCAACACAAGAATAGTTGGCATTTGGCACAGTCTTTGTCTGTCTTGATGAAAGGGTGGGGTTTGAACTTGGCACTTTAATTTGAACTTTGAACAAGAAGGAGTTAGCAGGCTGCCAGCTATAGTGTATATCTTTTGTGTCTAGAAACTTTATAGAGTTAAATTAACCACCCACCATTAGAATACTCTAGAAGAAAAAGTAAAAAGAATGAAAAGGAATTAGATGAACATAAAACAAAGGGAAAAACAGAGTTGGAAGATGGGTTAGGAGGAAGTAGTTTAATTAATTAATGGAACGAAGACATGTTTCCTGGAGTGGGGTCAAGTTGAACATGCATGGTATACAAAATAGCTTTTAATTAGGATAGCCTTTACTTTCATTTATTTGTGAGTTGATGATTATTCTTTTCCTTTGCTGTAGTCGTATTTATACAAAATTTCTTGCTTTAAATGTTATTGAATGTACATATCACAACAACATGAAGAATATTTTTAATGTGAAAACAGTAACAATCAAACAACTATTATGACACAATTTAATCAAACTAAGGTAGCGATCGCCTCTTTTTTTTTTAATAAAATAAAATTTTTAAAATTAGAAAAGGTTTTCATTGAAGAAAATATTAAAAGAAGTTTTTTAGACAAGTTATTTTGTATGATTTTTCCCTCTGGTCGCTGTATTTAAAATTTTCAAGACCGATAACTTCTTAAATTAAAAGTAGCTATAACTTCTATTTTACACCAAAGTAGCATAAGTTAAAAAAAAATACAAACTTATTAAATAAATTTATTTTAAAGATTTTGTTAACATCAATGTTTAGCAGTGATCTTAAACATTAGTAAATTTTATAATTAAGTATTTATAAATATTGTGGTGAATTATATTTAATAATGAAATATTATTAATACTTAATTATAAAAATTTGATGATTATTTTTGTAGTTGATAAAAAAATAATATGACATTTGATAAATTGTATTAAATTAAATATTATATATAAATTTTAACCATAATCTTTAAAAAAAAATAGCACAAGTTTGCATTTAATTAAGAAAGGTGCGGGTATTAAAAACACGTACAAATAATTAGGCACTTGGCCATGTATGACTCTTTTTCTTTTTCTTTTAAATGAGATATAACTCATTATTATATTTATCCTTACTAAAGTAATATTTTCGATTATAATTTTATGTCCAAATCAATTAAATCCTAAGTTTTAATCAAAGAGTATCAAACAATGATTTTTAATTTTAAGGTATTATTATTCGTACACAATTAGAACGAAATATTCTCTGGATCAAATATTATAGTATCATATCCATACCGATCCATTGTCATCCAATTAGAACGAAATACTCTCTCCTCAAGCTATCCTGATACCCTTTACAGCCATCATCATACCAATTGTTCTGTTTGGATTCAACACCACTTCGTACACTAAGGTAAACAAAATTATATATATATATATATATATATATATATATATATATATTTAGTCTT